AAACATATACTACTCAATGTTAATTTTGCAAACTTTTTCTTAAGTTTCAACAAGTGTTTAAACGGTGATCTCGATCTAGCCTACTTGTAAATTGTTACAAATTTCAACAAGGATTAACATATACTGTAACAGGGATCAACAAGGATTAACATAACAAGTGTCAAACAATAATCTATTTGTAAATTGCTACGAATTTCAACAAGTGTTAAACAATATACATCTCAGCTTAACTTCAACTTGTAAATTGCTACAAATTTCAACAAATGAAGATAAGGAACTATCTCAGCTTAACTTCAACTTGTAAATTGCTACAAATTTCAACAAATGAAGATAAGGAACTATCTCAGCTTAACTTCAACTTGTAAATTGCTACAAATCTCAACAAGTGAATTAAGGAATAATCTCGGCTTAACTTCAACTTGTAAATTGCTACAAATTTCAACAAGCGAAAACATAACAAGTGTTAAACAATAATCTATTTGTAAATTGCTACGAATTTCAACAAGTGAAGATAAGGAACCATCTCAGCTTAACTTCAACTTGTAAATTGCTACAAATTTCAACAAGGATTAACATACAGTAATCTTGGCTTAACTTCAACTTGTAAAATGCTACAAATAATTTAACAAGTGAAGATAAGGAAATCAGCTTAACTCCAACTTGTAAATTTGCTACAAAATTTCAAAAGTGAAGATAAAGGAATCCATGCACTCGACTTGTAAATTGCTACAAATTTCAAAACAAGTGAAGATAGGAATCAGCTTAAACTCCAAACTTGTAAATTGCTAAACATTTCAACAGGTGAAAGAATAAGCGAATCAGCTTAACTCTAACTTGTAAATCTGCTACAAATTTCAACAAATGAAGATAAGGAATCGGCTTAACTCGACTTGTAAATTGCTAAAATTTTCAAACAAGTGAAATAAAGGATCGATTAACTTGACTTGTAAATTGCTACAAAATTTTCAACAAGTGAAAGATAAGGAATAATCTCGGTTAACTTCAACATTGTAAATTGCTACAGAATTTCAACAAGGTAAACATATTCTTCTTCTCTCTGCCTCTTGCTGCTGATCCCATTGTTTACCTCGCCTTCGCTTTTGGCAAGCCGTTTCTTTTCTCATTGTTTTTTATTAAGCTCTGCATCCTTTTGTCCGTAGGGTCACCAAGAATCCCTTTGATATGGTCTGTAGCAAGGGATTTTGCCCGTGCATAGCTTCCACATACTCTTTGTGGTCTTTACAACAGTTCTTACTTGGCTCTTTCAGGTCCGATCTTGTGTGTTTCTTTTTATCTTCTGGGATCTGAGATTTTCTCACTAAGTCTTTCTTCTCGAGTTTAAGTGCCGAGCTCTTGTCTTCTGGAATCTGGGATCTGCTCATTCAGGTTGAGCTCTTTTTTTTCGGGCCTACTCATCTAGCCGAGATCATGTCTTCTGGAATCTTGGATCTGCTCATTCAGGTTGAGCTCTTTTTTCTCGGGCCTCTCATCTAGGCCGAGATCATGTCTTTTGCGAATCTTGGATCTGCTCAATTCAGGTTGAGCTCTTTTAAGTGTATTTTCTTGGGAGCGCTCATGCCCCCTGTCTTTGATCCCTTCTGGAAGGGTCTTCATTCCGATTATGTCGACATATTCTACATCCTTGCTAAACTAGTTGTTTCTGGCACGTTGATCTTGTACGGTGGTGGCCATCATTCTCCTTCGTTCCACAGACGGCTCAAATTGTGTGGGTGATTTTCCTGACCAACACTGCCTTCGCTTAGTAATCAGCTGGAGAGCACTGCAGAATAGGGATGGCACCTGCTTGACTGCAACAGAAATATAGAATCCGCGATCGGTT